CAGCAAAGGTTAAGAAATGCCATCTGATTGGACTGTCAAGATGGGCTAGATCCATGGTGTGGATGTTGAAGATGACTGGTGAGAGTTGTGATCATTGTTGAAGAATGGTGTTGGTGGGTGTGGTGTGGATGTTGAAGATGACTGGTGAGAGTTGTGATCATTGTTGAAGAATAGTGTTGGTGGGTGTGGTGTGGATGTTGAAGATGACTGGTGAGAGTTGTGATCATTGTTGAAGAATGGTGTTGGTGGGTGATCCAATCTGATTGTTAACTTCCATGTTTCATGTAGTTAGTGCAGCTATGACCTGTCTTGTACATGTTACACTGATGCCTATTCTGAGTATTTTGTCAAAGGAATGGACAACTGGACTCTACTGTAGATATATTCCAGATCCAAGTCTACCATTAGGGTGTTCTCATAGGCTTCAAAGTTTTCCAATGTACCAGTTGTGAATTCAACAGCATTTATTCAGGTTTCTCTTCTACTGCAATAATCACTCAATTTGGATGATAGTAGTGATTAAACCTGTTAGGCAAAGCCTTCTCTGGGATCTTGCCAATAATATTTTGTAGGCATAGGTCTGTATTTTTGGGAAGTTATCTGTTGCTCAACTGTGTTGATGTTCTAATGCTAATTTCATCAGGTTGGATTCTATAAGCTTCTTAAAGGTGGAGATTCTTTCACTATATGGACCTGGAACTCTATCCTTAAATATATTTATGGCTCTCATCCAAGCTTATAGATGGTTTCAATTTCAGCATGTGGTTGTAGCTCAGATAGGGATAACTGCAGATTGAGCTTCTCATGCACGTCAACATGGTTAATGTATCTGTGCATGAAGTGTTCTTCATGTGTATGGACTGGGGTATTGTTATCATTGTGAATGACTGACATCACCATGATTTATGTTATTATGCCAGCCATTAGATTGTGGAACTGCTAGAATGAAGTGTGTATGAGATTAGCCATGCTGCAGAGTTCGTGGATTTCCTGTCATAGGTTTCTGGAAGCTAATTGCCTGTATGAGAGAATAGGCTCCTGGATCCCAGGTGAGATCTGGCATTGAAGTGTCCTGCAGCCAGATACATAAGAGTGTTATCAAATGGTCAGACTCTGGCATTGAAGTCTACTACAGTTAGTTATGTAAGAGTATTATCAGATGGTCAGACAAGAACCTCATCTCTTCAGTATGATGTGCTGTGTTAGCTTTCATGTACACCATGGTTATTGCAATGACCATCCAAGGTTCGGAATCAGCATGTGGTATGAAATTGAAGCCAGTAAGAGTGAACTTCTCAGTGTCTGAGAGTTTAGTCTCTTCGAAGAGTATGATGTCATAAAACTGAAAGAGAAATTCTCAAGGCATTACGTGCTTCCCCCTGATCCCCCTGCCATTGCTGTAACCTCTCAATATTTAGGCCTTGGTTTCCTTCTTCTCCTGCTGAATAGTTGAGGTTCCTCACTGATGCCATTTTTGAGATTTTAATTCGAGGAAGAGATATCCAAGAAAAACATACAGGTGAAAGAATAGTGCCATTTGAAGAATCTTAGCATCAGACTGATTGAAAATAACTCGGAAATAAATGTAGAAATATGGGATATTCATACGGTTAAAATCAGCAATAGAATTGTTTGAAGGTAGTTGAAGGGAAAATAGTCTACATGGAATAAAGTTTCAGCCAAAAGGCATAATATTTCTTATCTAAGGATGCTCAAGGGTTTTAACTTTGCAAAGGATCTCAATAAAGAGTGGATGGGGCATGTGCTTTGAACTGATAAAATAAAGATAGTGCTACTTTTAAACTAGGATAAATTTTGTTCAGTGACATTACTTTGAGAAGTAAGTCTTACAACAGTCTTGTTCTTCAAGACATATACAATGGACAGTGTTTACTTATCCCTGGTTTTGAATTTCTACAGAATAATACTCCAGAATGTACCATTTTGCTAAGTGAGAAGAAAGGAAGCGATGATATAAAATGTATGAAATAGTCATCCCAGTTGCTATTCCAGTTGAAAATTTATGGTACTAGCTGAAAAGTGATGTTATTGAAAAAAGTCAACAAATGTAGAAAATGCCAGTTGATAGCCTTAGAAATGTGTAGCATCTGTACCAGTTGTATTCCAGTTGAAAATTTATGGTACTAGCTGAAAAGTGATGTTATTGAAAAAAGTCAACAAATGTAGAAAATGGCAGTTGATAGCCTTAGAAATGTGTAGCATCTGTACCCGACTTAAGTCTTATAATAAAGTTAGAGGAGGGCATAATAAATATTAGTTGCTCAGTGTATTGTGTTCCAAAGTTATCGTTTTATGTGTACTACTGCAAAATTGAGTGTAGACATAAGATGTGAGCAAAAAAGGTTGTTGTTATTGTATTATCGCGTGAAAACTTGAGTGTTGATATGGTGAATTCAGATTTTTATCTGGTATGGTTTAGTAAAGTGTAAAAGTATTGGTAAAAAAAATGAGAGAACTAAAGAAAAAATTATCAGTTAAGATTTCATTGTCTTATTAAGTATTACGTGTGTGTGTGTGTGTGTGTTTGTTTTATATCTATGTGTACTTCTGGTTTTACTGACAGTGTTTGTAGGATGTTTACTCATGAATGATAAGCTGTAACTGGGACTTGAAATTATTAATCAAGACAAGTGAATATACATAGTACCTTTACACATATATGCTTGTAATCATACTTACCTGGTCTTGAACCTTGGTTGTAGACTGTGTGGAAGAAAGGAACTTGTGACACACACAAACTTTTAGTTCCACCTGTACATTGGGGTGTAAACAAGAACATTAACCCAATTAAGTCACTTACTGAAGTTATGTAATATCTTAAATGTTTTTCATAGGAATTCCAAATGTATCAAAGAAATTTTCATGCAACACTTACAGATTGTTCTGTAATCTACATAAATCCATTTAAACACAATCTGTAAGTGTTGCACGGATGGATTTATGTAGATTGCAGATTTAAACAGCTTCCTCATTATAAAATGTTGACATACAGATCTTAGAAGTTACAAAAATTTTAAGAAAATCAGGACAAAAGTATGATTTGTCATGAAAACCTTTGGCAGTTATAAAACAGTTTTAATGCACTTAAAAAAAGAATATTAAGATATAACTTATTTTTTGATGTACTTGAAGCTTCTGCCTCCTCAACATCCAAATGTAAACATCCATTTATATGTCATTTCAGTTTGAAATATATATATATTTTTTTCTCTAATGCAATCAGAAAGGGAGTACTTTTGAGGACATGGGCTAGCACAGATCCAATTATCCTTCATGTAAAATAGTTCAGTAACATAATACATATTGTTCTGCTTCCATTTCCTATTTATGTTGTTCACTGAAATTCTGTAAAACTGAGATAGTATAAGTAAGGGTTTTGTTCTATTTAAAGCAATGCACGAGTTTTTGACCTTTGTAGATATGTTTCAAATTCCTCGTGTATGCCAGTACGTGTAGGTGTATCACACATCTACTCAGAAGCACTGTGAGTCAGCAGTATCAACCAGAGATTGTGAAGTCCTGGAAAGATACCTAGTTTTCAGTACTTATAACTAACTCTTCCTTCTGAATTGTATTTTAATGTATCTTTATTTCAAGTAAACTAGGTTCTTTGCATAATACACTGACACACGTACAAATGTATATATCACTGACACACACACACAGGAATAAATAAATATATATATACACACACATACACACAAATAAATATATATATATATATACACACACGAGGGGGGGATGCATTCTCATCTTTTGAAGTAGGAATGTAAAAACGGTATACTTAATTAGCTATACTCATTTAATGTTTGATTTTTTTTTAGTTTTGCTCTAAATAGGCAGCTTGCCCTGATTAGAAGTTAATATCAATAACCATTCTTCCAGATGTGTAAAAAGGATGAAGAAAATGTTTTTGAATGTGTATTGACATGAGAAAAAGATATTTACTGCCGTAGGAGTATGTACAAAGCTGCTTTTTATTCTTATATTGAGACCCAAACAAGAAACTATTCATGCATGTTTTTGTAATTTATTTATTGTTCCTGAACAGTTGCTATTTGTTTATTTCTTTATTTCATATAGGAAACAAAACCTCATATACACAGTATATATGACTTCCTTAACATTAACAAACTGAAACCCCTGTACTGTAAGGTAGCTCATGCAGTTAGTATCTGTAACACTTTATCTAGTTTTCTTCTTGGCCCCTGTGGTTTTTTTTGTAGCACTGCATGCTAAAACCATATTGTTGTGAAAGGATAAATGTTTTTTCTCTCTCTCTTGCTACATAATAAATGTTTTTTCTCTCTCTCTTGCTACATAATAAAGTCTGCACTTTCTTTTGTTAGCTGTAAAAATGTTTTAAATAGGACAATGAAAAAGTATTCTACTGATACTTGAAATTAATTATTCTTCACAATCATAACATATTCATGAGAAATTATATTGTATTCAATACAAGTTCAGAACATGTGTAAACTGTATTAAAATACATGCATTTTTTTTAGAAATGTATGTTGAACACTTAGTTTAGTTTCTTTAAATATATTTAAGCTCTAGAATTTTTTTTAAAAAAAGTGATTAATTATATAGAAATTAATCTGAACATGTGTTTATAATGTGATTAGATATATAAATATTCCATTTTACATATAAAACTGTTTATAAGCCACCTACTACTACTACAATAACTTCTGTTTGAAAAACAACACAAGTAAAACGATTATTGTTACAGAAATCAAATGTTAAAATTTTGACTTTTCTGTCATAAAGAAAGTTTTCTCAGTCAGACTATATGCTTATTGGTAGAAATGTATGTAAATTGGACATCTTGTCTAGAAAATATTATTTTTGCTGATGACAATATTGCGTGTGCCATACCCTGATTAAAATAAAAACAACCTTTGACACACACACACACACACACACACACACACATGTAATTGGTTTATCATTCATTATGTTATTTCCTTTATTAGGTTATTTCAGCCAGAGCTTGAGTAAATTGCAGCCCAAGCATTACGTGCAAGGTTAGTATAGTTTTGAGTAACTAGCAGTAAAGGTTTCTTTAATGTCTGTTCTTCTCATAGGACAAGACATCTACAGAGGATTTGTAAATTAAAGTATATATGCTTGTTTGTTTCATTTAAAAATGTCACTAAACTGGTGAGAAACTAGTAAAATTATTGGTTTTTGTACATATGTAAATACAACAATGTCTGCAAATAGTTTGTGTATTCATATGTTGTACAACATATGAATACAACAATGTCTAAATGTTTTATGTGTATTCATATGTTGTACATATGTAAGTACAACAATGTCTGCAAATGTTTGTGTATTCATATCTTGTACATATGTAAGTACAACAATGTCTGCAAATGTTTGTGTATTCATATCTTGTACATATGTAAATACAGCAATGTTTGCAAATGTTTTGTGTGTATTCATATGTTGTACATATGTAAATACAACAATGTTTCGCAAATGTTTTGTGTGTATTCATATGTTGTACATATGTAAATACAACAATGTTTGCAAATGTTTTGTGTGTATTCATATGTGGTACATATGTAAATACAACAATGTCTGCAAATGTTTGTGTATTCATATGTTGTACATATGTAAATACAACAATGTTTGCAAATGTTTTGTGTGTATTCATATGTGGTACATATGTAAATACAACAATGTCTGCAAATGTTTGTGTATTCATATGTTGTACATATGTAAATACAACAATGTTTGCAAATGTTTGTATTCATATGTTGTACATATGTAAATACAACAATGT